TCCCGTAACATTGGGGCGTTTATAGTAGCATTTGGGCACAATCGCCTTACTCTTCGCAGACCCGCATTTGGCATCTTCTTTTTGTTAGCTGTCTTATTATACAAATAGCTTCGTATTCTCCAGCCATCTAGCTTTTTATTGGGAAACAAGGGCCCCACTCTTTTTTGCCAAAACACGTAATGCATTGCAATATGCCTGCGCGTGTAATGATGCTGTGGTCACTACTTAAATGCCTGACCGATGGATAAAAGCTTGTCTTTCTTTGAGGTTCACATCTTCTGACGGCTTCTCTTTTTTACCCCTAAGCCAAACGCAAGGATCGCAACTATTAATAAGTTTTCAATATATGATAAAATCCTAAGTACTACGTCCGCGCCTTGACGTTCTTCACCTCCTCCTCCGTACTTTATTACCCTATTCTCCTGATTTAATTTCATTCTTCTGTACACTCAGCTGACAAGCCTTACATGGCACAGAGAGCGCATGTATGCGTGGGGTTATTTTTTTCGGGGAGTGTCTTACGCGACTCCGCCATAAGTTTAACAGCATAATTTTGTACCATATCTTACAATACTCTTTGGGCCCCTGCGAAAGAAGCCTGCCGTCTTACCCGCGTGCACGTTGCCAAAGCCTAAGCCACTCAAAGAAACCCAAACAGGGAAATTGACCGGACGGCGCTTGCATTCGGTGTCCAGTTCATTTTTTTTTTCACCGTGGTTTTCTGTACATGTTAAAAAAAAAAAACTCGGCCAAAAAGTTCCGCTGGGCCGTTACTCGGGTCTGCCAAGATCACCCTGAGCGGGTCGGTTGCGGTTCCGATGGGCATCACACATTCTTATCTCCTGGTGGTAATGACGCAGGGATGACATGATTCTCCAGTTATCTGTGCCGTCTGCCTGATCAAAAAGCTGTGTAAGCTCAAGTCACGAGGCGTAGTTGTACTGAGAGTATTTTGATTGGCTGGCCTTGCATCACGCCGTTACCGCTCGATGGCTGGGACTCCTTGTCAGAATTGAAAGTCGTTTCACGGCAGACACCTACTGTGGGCTCTTAAACGACGTGCTGCTCCCATGTCTAGTTGGGGGACCGTTCCCAGAGAAGGATTTCATCCTTCAGCATGATAACTCCCCTATACACAATAAAAAAAAATTGCTCGGTATTCAAAGAGTCACGATGTGGCAGTTCTTAAGTGGCCTCCACTGTCGCTTACTTAAACATCGCTGAAAATGCGTGGGGAAACATATAACTTGCACTGACCCACCGGCGACTACGTGCAGTCTCAGTGGATGCACTTTGGGCCATTGTCCAGGAGGGGTGGCAGCAAATCAAGGTCAACACAAACATTTGGCGGTCCCAAAGCCGCATCCCCAATAGAATGAATGCGGTTATTGGGGCTGGAGAGGATCCTACCCGCTACTGAGAGTTGCTAACTTTGGAAAACGCAGAACACAAGCAATGAACTCGGTATCATACTGTCTGCAATTTTCTTTGTGTTTTTAACTGTACAGCATTCCAATGCTCCAGAAAAAGCATACAAAAACAAAATGTCTTTGATTTATGAATTTCGATACCTGCAGAGTGTGCAAATCCGCCAGAATGCCCCTGGAGGCTCACTGGTAAACAGCTCAGCTAAAATTAGTCGGGACACATAAGTTTGATCGTGGCAGCACGTGCCGTGTTTGAATGCGGGAGAATCGCAGAGACCATTACGCACGTAATTTCAGGCCATGGTGAATGTATCCAAGCAATAAAAACTTCTCAGAACACCGCTCAGTGGCGAAATTCTTTCACGGACTAAAACACTACAAACAAAGCAAAACTAATACTCAAGAGTTTGCAACGATGCATACACTGAACCGGTATTTTGATACTGAAACAAGAGGGATCACCCACGTCTCAAATATGGTGACTACACAACACGTTGCGCTGAGATAAGCCCGCTTTCCTGCAACGTTCGTGGTTTTTCAGGTGCTTTTAGTTTGCTTCACGGCATAACGGGCACAGTGCGCTCCCGCGCTTTTATTCGAAAGTAAGCCCCGCCTATAGGCTCTTGTGCGCTTGTGTCGATAAGCTTCGATGCGCGGCCGCACCGCCAGCGCTGGCGCCCCGCGGAGCGAAGCCTCGCGGCGCCGTGATCGCACTAAGAGTGGACGGCCCTATACACGCACACATACATACACTCGCACGAACATATCTAAAAGTTGGCTGGCCGACCCTTCCCCTGAAAAAATATCACAGCATATCCACGGAGCGAATGATGATGAGCGGGGCGAAGCATCCGTCCGTGTGTCCATCCATCCGCGCGTCCAGACTGACGGACGGATAGAGGGACGTATGCACGGACGGACGGACGAATAGAAGCACGGACGAACAGACGCATGGACGGAAGCATGGATGGAAGTACAGACGGACGAATGGAAGCATGGACCGAGAGACAAACGGACGTACTCACGGACGGACGGACGGGCCGGCGGGCGGACGGACGGTCGCTAGGGTGGAGGACGGACGGACGCTTCGCCCCACTCGCCATCACTCACTCCGTGGATATGCTGTGAAAACCACTAACCCCATCTAGTTATATTATATACCCAAGGATGGATGGATGGATGGATGTATGTGGCTGTACCCTTTAGATCGGGCGGCGGCTAACGCCACCTAGCCGTAATACTTAGTGAACTAACCACTAGATTTATCTTTTTTTCCCTTTAAATAGTAAAGTTGGACGGGTACTTTGCAGTGAAGAGTTTAATTTTCATTCGTGCCTTGACTTTAGCCACCAATCAGATAACCTCCTTCTAGTTAAGTCTACCCGCTTAAAGTCTATTTTGCCCTCCCTGTCCCCAAACCCCAGTGCTTTGAAAAACTCTGCGCCATCATCCTGAACTATAGGGTGAAGCCCTTTACAGAGCATTATCAAGTGTTCGGCAGTTTCTTCTTCCTCTCCACACGCACTGCATACTGTGTCTACCCCTTCGTATTTGGCCCGATATGTCTTGGTTCGCAATACTCCCGTCCTGGCCTCAAACAGTAGAGAACCATCCCGAGTATTATCATAGATCCTTTCTTTGGCAATTTCCTGCTTCAAAGTTCGATAGATCTCTAGTGCGGACTTCTTAATCATGCCAATTCTCCACATGTATGTCTCCGTTTTCTTCACTTTCTTCTTAAACGATAGTTCTTTTTGGTTTGGCCACCTGCTGTTTTCTAAGTATTTACCAGTCAATTTCCTGGTTCGCTTCCTCCATTTTGTATCGACATTCTTCATGTGCAAGTAGCTGAAAACCTTCCAAGCCCAACGCTCCTCCCCCATTTCTCTCAATCGCTTCTCAAATTTTATCTTGCTGCTAGCTTCCCTGCCCTCAAATGATGTCCATCCCATATCACCTTGTACTCCCTGATTTGGTGTATTCCCGTGAGCTCCTAAAGCAAGCCTACCTATTCCACGTTACTTAATTTCTAATCTTGCTTGAACTTCTGACCTCATGCTTAAGACCGCATTGCCGAACGTCAGCCCAGGAACCATCACCCCTTTCCATATTCCTCTCACAACATCATACCTATTGTAATTCCACAGTGTCCTATTTTTCATCAATGCTGCATTCCTGTTACCTTTAGTCGTCACGTATATTTCGTGTTCCCTTAGGTACTCGGTCCCATTGCTTATCCATACGCCCAGATATTTGTATTTATCTGTTATCTCTAGCTTGACCTCCTGTATTCTAAGCTCACTACCTTCGTTGTCATTGAAAATCATGACTGCTGATTTTTCCTTACTGAATCTAAAATCTAACCTATCTCCCTCATTACCGCAGATGTCCATCAATCTCTGCAAATCTTCCTTGTTGTTGGCCATTAGCACTATATCATCTGCGTACATTAATGCTGGTAGTGCCTGATCAATGAGTTTTCCTTGTTTGACTAAACAGAGGTTGAAGCCCAGTCCACTTCCCTCTAATTTGGCCTCTAATCCTTGTAGGTACATCTTTAATAAGGGTGACAGGGGACACCCCTGCCTAAGTCCCCGTTTCACCTCTGTGGGCTTGGATACCTGTTTTTCCCACTTTATAACTACCTTGTTACTTTTATAGATTTCCTTTAAAAGATTAGTGGCTACATCTTCCACGCCTAGTGTGTCCAGTATTCCCCACAAGTCCTCTTGAACCACGCTATCGTACGCTCCCTTGATGTCCAAAAATGCTAGCCACAGGGGCCTGAGTTCTTTTTCTGCTATTTCGATGGACTGCGTCCGTGAGAACAGATTGTCTTCCAACCTCCTGTGTTTCCGAAACCCATTCTGCAGTTCCCCCAGCACCCCCTCATCCTCTATCCGTGCCTGCAGTCTTTCCTTTATAATCTGCATCGCCAGCCTGTAGACCACTGATGTCACTGTTATGGGACGGAAGTTGTTTATGTCATCTTTGTCCCCCTTTCCTTTATAAATCATGCTCATCCTGCTAAGTTTCCAGCCATGAGGGACTTCACCATCGATTATAGTTCTGCTCACTGCCTCTCTCAAAGTCTGTTTAGACTTCGGACCAAAGGACATATACAGTCCAAGGACATATACACACACCGCCATCTATTGAGCAACTCATAAACTAGAGGTGGCTACATACTACTATTACGACTACAGAGGAAGGAACGACCTACGGCCTAAGGAGCTTCGCCCCTAAAAAAGAAGTCTGGCTACACCCCTGAAATATAATGCATGTGCAAAACGCAATGCAGCCCCTAAACTGCCACAACTAACGTCATTGGCAAGTTCATATACTTATATGAGTTTGACAACCGCTGTGCAGTCCCCATCGTAATCACCAGAGCCAGACTTAGGCCCCCGCTATTTACGAATCACGCGAACACCATTTTAAAGAATTACAGCATTAATAGACGGACAACCAAGCACTCTCTAAACGCTTACCTCATCACCAGTTCGAAGAATGCAGCTGATTCGAGCAAGCCAGCCTGGGGTCATTTCACTGCAGCGTGGACGGTCACTGATGTTGAATAAAAAACTTGGTGCACAACGGCACGCCATGCACCACATTTATTCGTACTAATGTATTGTCCAATGACATTTATTGTCACGCGTACATCTCTGATACAAAAGTAACGGAACGACTCCACTTTTATTCCTTTTATACCACGTGGTTTTCTCATTCTGTTCGTCACGTGTGTGTTTGTGTGTGTATGTGGTTACATACATGGCATCCTGGGGTACATATCACCGGACTCTTCCAAAGCCCGAGGCGGGAACACACGCTGTACACATGAAGCAAAGGTCAACTTGGACACATGTTCAAACAAGCCCACTAAAGATGCTCGTGCACAAGCAACAGCTCGCATTTTAATATGGACAGATAAACCATAACGAAGCTAAGAAATACACAGTGAGCACAGGAGTGAAACAGGGATGAGACAGCGAAAAAAGTTTGTACGTGTAATGCCCATTAAGGAGAGATTGCTTCTCTAGCATCCCTCTATGTCGGGCGTAGATGCCCGCGAAAAACAACTGCAGTGATGTAGACCCCGAAACTGCAGTTGCGACCGAGTGGTGAACAGTGTGTAATGTCCTAGTGTATTGGTGCTTTCACACATAAAAGTTATCTATGTATTGTATATAAGCTTCTTAAAAAATTAATCGCTCATGCATTGTACTTGGATCTCGAGATTTAGACCGTGCTCATTCAAAAAAAATGAAGTAAAGCAAAAAAGTAATGCCAGTCCGAAGTTAAAAAAAATCCAAAACACTACGGACAAAAATAGGAAGAAAAGTATTGTAAACTGCGCACTAAACATAGGCGCATTCTACCTGGATGATATTCACCTCTACGTATGAGGCTGCAAAAAATAAACAAAGAAAAGTTACATAAAAATTTGAGATAATTTGGTAATTCAACACTAGCCATAACTGCTACGCATGATGAAAATTGAAAGGTGAGTAGAAAGAAATATGCAGATGTTATCCGGTATCACTGTAGGGATGAGAAAACTGAAGGATGATGCCGTAAAATATCGAGCAAGCTACCACCCAGAATTTGAATTTGAATAACGCTTAGTTGTAAGAAAGAAGGCATGCTTTGTTGTCAGAACACAGCACAGAAATTTTGTGTTCCGATTGAGACATCGGGATTATTTTCGATGGCAACTTTTAATTAAAACTTTTCTTTCGCATAGGTCATCTCTTTTTCTATGAAACCAGCTACTTTTTTTTGCAGAAAGAAACAAAGCTTTGAAGTTTAAAGGTGTCAAAACATATAAAACGCCACTTAATAACATCTCGTAAAAGTGAAACATGAAATATTAAAGTTGCATCTCCCAGAACATGGGATTTTTCTATCGATGTCACAATGTATGCAGACCTTTGACAAAGCACATAAAAAAAGTTAGGAATGAAATTTTTACTTCTGATGGGGTTGACAGCTGCCCAGAAATGCTGTCCGTTTCCAAAGATAAGGTCCCGGAGGCTTGCTCGGTGTGATACAAAGTGACACACGTAGATGACATCTTGCAATTTTTAACGGATATACAACGTTAGCCAAACGATAGTTATAGCGCGAGAACAATACGACGACACAGAGACAAGAAGGACACGAAAGACTTGTCTCTGTGTCGTCGCATTGTTCTCGCGCTATAACTAACGTCATGCCATACCAACTAGCCCAAGCTGCCACACTTCTAAGTTAGCCAAAGTTTCAGAACAATGCCGCACTGCTAAAAGCACGCCCGTTTGTGCCAAGTCAGTTCAGGAAGAGCTGTTTTTCTAATTTATTCCACTGATCGTTTTGTATTTCTCACGATAGGTGGGGCAAATGGGTTTCGCCAAACTACAATGCACATTCTGAGCAATCTTGAAAGAATGATTTTGGTTTGGACAAAAAAAAAAAAACATAACGTGTTCCATATAACCACTACCGCACCTACTACGTGAAATTTCGCCGGCGAAATAGTGCCTACATTTCTGTCAGAGAGCACTTTCAAGAAGAAGCTTATACAGAAGTACCACGGCTATCTTCGTGAAGAGTTGGAACTAGGGGACACGCAACACCAAACCCGTTGACTACCAACAATCAAGGCCTCTGACTGCGAGTGGCAGGGAGTTACTTAACTTTCTCCCACTTCTGAGGCCATTTATTTTACCGGGGCATATCAAACAACGCGCTCACCATCGCCACACCATACGAAGGACATATCCAACTGTTTTACAAGTTGCCTATAAGTACGCGCTCTTGGCCAAACTATAAGCATCTAGCGAGGATCGAAAACTAGAACATACTCATCCACATGCTATTACCTGTAAATAGAAACGACTTGAAAACAGGAAAACGAAGCAAATTAATTAAGTGAAAGCCTGACTAAAAAGCGGTCTCGGGGGAAAAAAAAGAACACGTTTGTACAACAACGCAAACTGACACTGCCAGCATGCTTGAAGCTGTGTGTAATGTATAGGCCTCAAACACGAGACAACACGCCTCCGTCTATGCTGCCCAAGTTGGCGACGTGTCAAGGGTCAGACCGCTGCGAGGCTTATCGTCGCAATCCAATTTTCCCCGAAATTCCTTTCTAAAGCACAACCTCTCGTTGACGCGCACAGTAAAGTCCCTGCTTGTGCCAGGCCTTAGCAAACCGAGTGGCCTTGGCTGGTGACGCAAGAGTTATACACCGCAGCTTTAAGCCATAACTAGCCTACATCTTTCCATACTCGCGGCGAACAGCCTCAAGGTGAGAAAGCAGGAGCCACCAGTCCAGGAACCCACATCCGACGCCCTGCAGTGTAAAGTTCGTTTTCAGGTCCACGCAGTAGGCTCGAGCTTCCGGCGGAATGGCAGGGTTGTAAGGATCCCGCAGGCTTTCAGCCCTTTGACTTCCTGCGGTCCACCAAGTAGATGGGATTGTCGACTCCCTGCCGGCGACCTGAGTCCCTCCGGGCTAGGCGTTCGGTCGACGTTGACAGTGCGCCATTTCCCCTTAGGGAGGACTCGTCGTCGTCTTCCTCTTCAGCTCGGGTAGTGCTTCTACGGGCGACCTTGAGGCCGTTGGCGGGTGAAGGCTTGGTGTGCTTGCCCCCGAACGTCATCAGTGGCTCAGTCCTCCAGCCTTCGGCGGGTCGTCTGGGCGGCGGGCGCGGTGGCGCGGGCACTGTAGGCGCTGGAGGTGGCATGACGTCCTCCAGTGGTACCACGCACGTGTCGAAGGCTTGCACCACGCCCAGCTCCTGGTCGGGCGTGCGCAGGTGATCGGCGTACACTGTATGAGGACGCGGTATGCGCGTCAGCGTGTAGTCTTCCAGGCGAAGGTTGAGGCGCGGCGTGTCGAGGAAGTCGAGTGTCTTCGACGGCTGTCGGCGACAGCAGCGGATGCTGCATACCACGCAGGCGATGATAAGCACGATGCCGAAGAGCACCGCCACGGCGACGTAGATGATGAGCTCCTCACGCGTCGGCACCCAGCGGGAACGCACTGTGCGTGCTCCATCGGTGGAGACATGCTCCTTGACCGAAAAGTCGGTCAGCAGGAAATGCCTGTCGTCGCCACCCAACTGCAGGGTGCCGGCCAGACTCAGGTTGCGCAGCAGCTGCTTCAACTGCAACTCACCGGCTTTGAACGTCACGTTTACGTCTAACAGCGTGGTGCAGCGGATGTCGGTGACGCTTATGTTTTCGGCGGCACTGGACAGGTTTCGGAAAGCGCCCTGGACGTCGCTCTTGAGGCTTTCGTGGCTGCAGTTGCCGCGAAGCACCAGTAGCAGTCGCCGCTGGGTGGGCGTTGACTTCATGACCACGTCTTCCTCGGTGACCTCTGGCACCCTGCGCTTGGTCGTCGTCGGTAATAGTGTCGTCGGAGCCACCGTCGTTGTAGTCACCGCCACTGACGGTGTCGTATCGGTTCCGTTGGTGGCATTTGGCTGGTGACCATCGATATCCATGCTCGGCGTTACGGTTGCCTCGTCTGAATGAGTGACAGCGGGTGTTGTTACAGTCTCCGTTGTGGCGACAGTAGAAGTATGTTTTGTTATCGAATCCCCCGTCGTCGTTTCAGAGCTTGCGGTGCTCGTTTGGTGACCAGGGGATGAAGTCTGCTCAGGTGTGTGTGCCGACGAGGTGGTATGTGCAGAGGACGCCGTCGGCGTTGCTGTTGCATTGTCCAGTGATGCCCCAGGAGTCGTAGTTTGCAAACTGCTTGGGATATTTTCCACCGTCTGCTCGGTGGCTGGCGAATAGGCCGCTCCTGTCGACGTTCCAACGCTGGCCTCTGCAAGAAATGAAAACAGAAGACACATAAGACAGGTTAGAAATGTTTACGTCACACTTTCTTCATTTATTACCATTTTGTTCACTTTGTGACTTAAAAGGGACCTGCAACAATCCTACAAGTAGCCATGGAATGGATAAGCCTCTTCTAAAGTAGCTAAGAAAAGGGGCTTATTGCCTCACGAAATGACAAACGTAAAAAAAATAGAATTCATCCAGTAGGAGGGGAGTTTCAAATATTTGTCACATGATGCAATAACTTTCTATTCTCTCTCGTCCCGAAGAAAGTGCTGGAAGCTAAGTAGGGAGGGATGGCACGGGACAAGAAGGCGCGTCCTCATGACCTTGAACCCTTCCTCTCTTTTTTTTTTCTTCGAACGCACGGCTTGTCAGTGCGATCGCGCGCGCACATGCGGATACGTCACGACGTCAGTCACTCACGAGCACGCCATGCCCAAATCAGCCAATGGCGGGATACTTGTGCCAGTGACGCACTGATTTCTGAGTATGTACCATCATTTGTCGAAAGAGGAGAATGCGATTCTTAGCTGATTTTGAGTATTCTTTTTGTAAATTCCAGGTCGCGTGCTGCGCTATAATATTTGGCTCACGTGTTCTTGAGAGCGTCGCCAACCAATCGATAGCGTTTTCTGACCATGCTCATAAAGGGCCCTTTCATTTAAGACACGCTTTTACCAACAATATATATATATCCTGTATCTCAGGAGCCGTATCTGCAGTGAAGTAAGACGTTTATGCGCATCAGAAACATACAAACTATGCCTTTAAAGAAGACATGACAGCTTGCGATGAAAAATTCCTAAACAGGGCATGTGTGCAACTGCTTTTGCTTTCCCAAAGCAGTTGCTGCACCCTTGAAGAAGACGAGTCCTCTGTCGAAACGTCCCGCTCCATAACACACACACCACACACACACACACACACACACACCACACACACACACCCACACACACACACACACACACCACACACACACACACACACACACACACACACACACACACCACACACACACACACACACACACACACCACACACACACCCACACAACACACACACACACACACACACACACACACACCACACCACACACACACACACACACACACACACACACACACACCACACAGAGAGAGAAAGAGAGAGAGAGAAAGAGAGAGAGAGAGCATCTTTCGTTTCGTTTGAAGTTAGACTAATGCCTTCAAAAAAAGAAAAATTGACAGATCCCACGTACAGTGGGAATCGATGATATGCGAAGCACGAATTAGAAATGTTGATATATCACTTTAAAATCAGCACAACGTTACGAGGTGGAGGTAAATTATGCTGTACATGACTTCCGTGTCATTATTATCATGCTTGGATGTGTCGTTTACCTTCGTCATCTATTCACGTCACTGATACCAAATTTAGTATATGTGAACCTAGCGAAACGGCCGCGAGCACTCTATGAACGTGGTAAGTTGTCATGTTCTAACCTGACACGCGTGGCACGATTATCATGTTTGCACGTGATATACCTTCGTCATCCATTGACGTCACGTAACACCAAATTTGGTATATGCGGAGCTAGCAAAACGGCCGCGAGTGCATCATAAAGGGCCCAATATACTGCAACGTAACGTTGACGCGTGCGCACGCTGGGCACAGCGACGCTACATTAGCAAAACGCGAGCACTATATTCTGACGCCAGACGCGACCAGCGTCAGTCGGCGCGGCCCGGCGGAAACCACCGTGAAGTGCGACATGCTGCATTTCGCGCCGATGCCCAGACAACTCTGCGTCTCCCTTTTTTCTTGACGGAGGGACGACGGACGCGCTGAAACGCGCATGCATCAATGTAACGCAGCGCGGCGCGCGACACATGACACGCATCTCACATTACACGCATCTCATGATTATCATGTTTGCACCAGTCACATACCTTCGTCAATCCATTGGCGTCACGTAATACCAAATTTTGTACATGTGAAGCTAGCGAAACGGCCGCGAGTGCATCATGAGCGTAGCATGTAGTCATGTTGTTACATGACACGCATCTCATGTTTATCATGTTTGCACCAGTATCATACCTTCGTCATCCATTGGCGTCACGTAATACCGAATTTGGTATAAGTGAAGCTGGCAAAGCGGCCGCCAGCGCATCATGATCGAGCGTGGCATGTAGTCATGTTACATGAAACGCATCTCATGATTATCATGTTTGCACCAGTCAGATACCATCACCATCCATTCACGTACTGTAATACCAAATTTGGTATATGTGACGCTAGCAAAAATGCCGCGAGCGCATCTTGAGCGTGGCATGTAGTCATGTTGTTACATGACACGCATGTCATGATTTTCATGTTAGGGCCTGTCGCTTGTGTTCGTTCTGCAATCATGGCATACAATACCAGTTTTGCAACATGCCATGTGAACGACACCACCACAAGAGCTGCAGGACCATAAAGTGCAGGAGCCCTCCCCCCCCCCCCCCCCCCCCGAAATGTTTTTGGCCATTGCATAGAGAGCGAGAAATGGCCACTTTAAAGGGGTGCCCCTCCCAGAAAAAAATTTCTGGCTATGCCCGACTGCTTCGAATAGCGTTTCCCCTTGAATTATCATAAAATTCTTCCTTCCTTCTGTTTTCAGGACGTGCTACGTTACTACGCCACCTATATACGCGTCGTTTCATGCAGTTTCAGTAAAGGCACACTTATAGGAAAGTAGTGAAACAGGTCCATATCTACTGGGTGGTTTCAATTACACCGTTTAAGTACCGGTGGAGGCTAAGTGCTTTAACGCCTTGGTTCCTCGTTCTGAACGATGAAGGAAGCTCTCGCCAAAAGTTTTTGCGAGCTATCTTCGAAGATCGCAGCACTCATCACAGCATGTGGCAAGCTCTGTTGGTTGGTTGGTTGGTTCCTCAACACCTTGGCGCAACCCACCTAGGGGGATAGGCCATGAATGGGACGGTGCCTTGCTTTTTAAATTAATTGGTGAAAGAGAGGGTTGGATTAATTAGGTAATATAGGTAATAATAAAAGGTGTTAAATTTCAAAAAAAAGAACCTTTAAAAGAAAACATATAAACATACAAATATATATATATATATATATATATATATATATATATATATATATATATATATATATATATATATATATATATATATATATATATATATATATATATATATATATATATATATATATATATAGAAAACAACTAAAGTTACTTATTTTTAGCATTCCAATCTTTTAGATTCTCGTAAGAAATTCGTAACAGCGGTAAAAACGCTCCTGTGGCTGAATCCAAATGCGACTGCGCCAAATGAAAGAATCACCGGAAGTGTCAAGTTTAAGCCCAACTTTCGTAGGGGTTCTTCTAGTAGATTATATAGTAGAAGCTCTGTATAGTACTGTATATATAGTAGAAGCTCTGTATAGTTCTGATCTAGCTCGCATCTTTATCTTCGCATTTTTAACAAGTAAGAAAGAGTAGCAGAAACCCGCAGCGGCACTGATCCTTTCTGAAGAAAAGTCGACAGCCTATAGCTTTTTTCCATACGCAGCGCTGCGATGGGCGCTCATTACGGCCGATTGCCAACCAAAGGTGGCGCACGGTAGCGGCCACTTCCTGGCCATGATGGCACCCAAAGGAGTGGGAGCGGATTTCATGTCGTGATATATAGGGCGATATAGGTCCGTATACCGGCTCTAAAGTATATTCCACGCGGTGGTCTTTCGGACCCTGATGCGCGTTGGTGGGAGGAGTTAGAGATGATGCACGGTTGAAAGGCGGTCGTAAAGCAGCCCGCGAGGATGCGAAAGCAGCTCGCTGTGACCACGTTCTCCTCAACCGACGTGCTATAGCATATATATATATATATATATATATATATATATATATATATATATATATATATATATATATATATATATATATATATATATATATATATAATTAAGAATAAAGGAGCACACTTACGAAAATTTGATAATTGTTTACTCTACGTTTCGGCCGTGGCACGGCCTTCGTCACGGCCGAAACGTAGAGTAAACAATTATCAAATTTTCGTAAGTGTGCTCCTCTATTCTTAATTACATTTGCACCGGACCCACAGAATTTCTTTCTTGAATCATATATATATATATATATATGTATATATATATAATGTCACTCTTCATTGGGGGGGGGGGGTACATCTTGCATTTTACAGCGAAAAAACTGTTACGAGCTCACAAACAAGAACCATTTTTTTTAATAGGAGAGGCGCCGAAATTGTTTACGCGTTTTCTGCCTTCGAATGTGTTACGTAATGACTTATCGTGCACAGAATCACTGTACAAAGACTTCATGCCTCTACTGGTGCAACACAGTGTATATTTGCTTAGTCGCGATTTGATTGTACCGATCGAGTTTCTAATGCTCAGTCACCTATGGTTACACCATCGTATGCTTAAGTACCAATCCGTTGCCCGGTGAACTGGGATAGCGGTGGGCTCAGTCAAGCTGATGTTTATGCAGATTTTTCTTTCCCGCTTTCCACATCAATATTTGTTTTATTTGTGTACTTTCTCTCTGTGTGTGTATAAACTATGCAAATAGATAAACTATGTTCGGCCAACTAAAGTTATCTTAACCACTCTTATAGGAATACCGCAGGTAATCTTAACCACTCGTATACATGCGTGTAAATGTGCTTTCGTGTACGTTCGAAAGTAATACGACAAAACCACATAAAAAAGGGAACGAGAAAAAGAAAACCTGCTCCCCAGGAAGGCGGCCGACGGTCAGCGCCGGCCGATTGCGAAATAACAGTCCCGCTGAGATGCCCTTGTGCAAGGGGTGAGAGGGCAACTAATTTATTATTTTTTTCCGGTAGTATGAAAAGAGAAATGAGCAGTCTTAGTTTCGTATGCAGCAGACGTGACTGAAATGCGTGTGTTTGATGACCGCAGACGCTTACAGCGGCAAGGCTCAGTTTGACGCAGAGCCACCCCGCTCTCGGAGGGTATACAAGCATAGGCGTGAACTGTACACACACAAAGCAGAAATAAAGAATACGCAAAGGGTTAGGAGGTGCCCGGGTTTGAAGGAAGAAGGAATACCGGCCTTAAAGGCACAGCCCAGCCATATACCGCAAAACAAATACGATAATACATCCTGCCCTCTGCGCCCCGACCACATGTGGGGTGTGCAAGGTCACCCACAGGCCGGTAATAAGAAGCGCGGAGCGTAGGGAATCAGGGTAGGTGAAAGCGTTGCCATGCACGCCATGGAGTGGAAGAGCGGCGAGGTATAAAGACGGGACACGTTTCTTCGAAATACGGAAAAGAAGGGACGATGGAAACAGAGAAAGAGAAAGGAAAAGCAGAGTGAGAGAGGCAGACGACTGTAAAGACGACAACGTTCAAAACAAGCAGGAGTTAAAAAAAAAAGAACCTGGAGGATTGATTCAAGAACGCTGACTGAGAGAAAGCGCGGAATTCTGCAAATCAAAGCGGCATCTATAGCTCGAAATACAGGGTCGTCTTCAGGCTAAACGATAGTGGGGTGGGCGATTTGCGGGCGATACCGGAAGATGAGTGCAAAGGCGCGGTACTAAATCTGGAGGCAGCTTCGTATATTATCAGGCGAGAGAAATTCGCCGAGCTACGGGGTGCACAAGCCACCCCGCGGGCAACTGAGAAGAGAAGGAAGGAATTGACAGCGTGTACCGCCGCACCTCTAAGGCGTACCAGACCGCTCTCAACGCCACGTTAGGCTTAACAGCTGCCGCCGATTCGTCGTCGGCTTCACCGCAACACAGATTTTTATCCCTTGCTTTTGTTCTGGTTTGTATCTTAGCATTTCTTTCAGATCGCTCAACATCGGGCCGCGATTTTGCCGTGGTTGATACCTCGATAACTTTCTTTTTTTCGTTTTCCCCTCACTGCCACCGCTACGGGGCACGTCTTCCAGCTTGTACGAGGCGTTGCAGACAACGGTGCCGCGCCACGCCAGCTAAGGTGCGTGCGTGAGCGTTGGGAGGAGAGTGAGCTGGGTACGAGTTCGTGCGTGTGCGTGCTCGCAGATGACGCCAGTGGCAGCCGGCGCCACTTGTTCTTGTTTTGGCGATCGGGAACGACCTGGAAATTGCCCGTTTCCGTGCACCACTTCCATCGTTCGCGCGCGATCGAGGTTTCAGTCAAGCGCGCAGAGCCCGAGCCGCAATAAGGCTCCGCCAAGTCGAAAAAGCACAAGGCACTGTCATAAGGCCAACGCGTCGACCGGCGAAGTGATCAAAACAGCTCAGCGATCGCTCCTTCCGTTCCTTCTTTCTGTTTACGTGGCTGTCGCGTAATCACGCTTATAACTGCAGATGCTTTGCTTTGCTTTACCCGACACCCAACAGAAACGCAAGCCATCCCTTAGATACGTGAATAAGTCTGGTAGGCCCCTAATAAAACAGCGCTCTATGAAAAAACACACTGCATGACCCACAGAAATTACACGGCTTGCCGGAACGGGCTTCAAAGGAGCGACCTGCTGCGATCATTAGCGGATAACGAACAAAGAAAACGGACGCTCACAACGCTCGTGCAGTGAGGCCATATAGTCGTGCTTATTTGTACACATACCTGCTCTTGACGAGGCGTCCCACCTGATGACTTATTCAGCAAACCCTATGAAACATTTTATTCGTTTGTTTGGAAATTAAATAATTGAACTTAAGCAGAGCATACTCGCGTTTGTCGCAGGTTATGCGAAGATATATCAGTACGTCTTTACTTCCCAGAGTGTATGCAGCGCGTTTCTTTCACTCAAATTAACTGTGAGCGGGAGCTCGTGGTTATTTATTTTAGGGGCGAAGCCCCTTAAGGGGTGGGTCGTGCGTCTCCTGTATATGTAGTAGCCACCTCTCGTTTTAGTCCGTACAATGTCCGCTGGATGGTAGTGCTTGTATATGATGAATATATGATGAAAAGATGCGAGATGGCGGTACGCGGAGTGTTAACTAGACATACATACATACATACATACATACATACATACATACATACATACATACATACATACATACATACATACATACATACTACATACATACATACATACATACATACATACACATGCATGCATGCATGCATACATACATACATACATACATACATACATACATACATACATACATACATACATACATACATACATACATACATACATACATACATACATACAGATGGACGGACGGATTGACGCGGCCAGTGTACGAGTCACGGTTTATTTATGAAACCCTTCGAAGTTTCACCCCCGTCATCATCATTCACTCTGTGGATATGCTGTTATTTTTTTATTGTCGATCATTATTATTCATTTAGCATTGTATAGATTGCGCGCGCGCGCGCGCGCGTGTGTGTGTGTGTGTGTGTGTGTGTGTGTGTGTGTGCGTGTGTGTGTATGTGTCTGCTTGCGTCAGTGCGTGCGTGCGCGCGTCTACTTACGCTGGAACGACGTGCTACATTTTTGTGAAACAAGTAAAGCGTTACGCAAATATTTTTCTCCTATGCCATTATACTTCATCTTAGCATCCTCATTACTTCATCTTGTTGGCTTAGGTATACCTGTATGTTGGCTTAGGTATACGAGGGTAGTACCTATGAGTCAGTGACGCTATGACTGACACTTCAGTCTTTCCACAAACTCCCGTTGTTTGGTCAGTTAAGTACTCTTTGTAGCCTTCAGTGAGGCTTAAAGCAGATACACTACTTGTGCGCTTGTGATATTTAGTACTGCATACAGCATTGTATACATTTCTCTTTTGCTATCTTTAAGTAATATGCCTTATTTATATAGCAATAGGTCGCACTTAAAGACAGCTGACCCTAAAAAGACATATAGCTTCTCATTTTTTTTTCGCATAATAAACTAAAAAGGAAGGGAAAGAGAAATTAGTAGCGACACGGGATTTTGGTTTTTAAGAAATTTATATATTCGTGTCCTGCTGCTTACTTAGACCAATTTAGTATTCCGCAACTCGTATAATCTGAAACTCGAACCTGGTACACAGAGGAAGTCGAACAGAAATGGAGGATATACTTTCGAGATGGCTCAACCTTCGGGATGGCCCCCTCAGAAATATAGATGTTCCCGCTTCGCTACCCCATCGCCGCTCATCGGTTCATACGAAAGTGTTCGATGCCTCATAAAACGCGAAAATTCAGTGGCGTCCCGCATCAGCGTCCCACGTCGGCGGCGTCAATACGAGTAATGCAGAAGTCGCAATCATGCACGTGGCTACATTATGACGTCGCAGGTAGCCTCATTTGTGACGTCATCGTGGACAAAGCGATGACGTCATTGTGACGTTACGTGATGACGTCATCACGACCCACCATTGCTCGGTCAAATATGGACCGATACCGGAGGCAGGTGAGGTGCAGAAAGCTCACAATGCGTCCAATCTGGAGGCACTGCAAAAACCACGTTGGTTGCTAAATACTTTCGGAGAAGGATACGGGACGTTGACACATTTACAGTTAGTGTATGTCGCTTCTAAAGGAGCCAGATACGTAAGTAATTGTGTATGCTACCTAAATGTAACATGTGCCGTAACTTTATATATAGACTTAAGATGAAAAAAAAAAAAACGGAGATGGCTTCCACTCTCGAGTAGACCGCGGCGGACGCATAAGGGAGCCTGCGAGCTTTTTGTCGCATGCATGACGAGAAGTGGTGATATCACGCCAACCTGTCGTGGATGGTGGGTCGCTGGCAGCGGCAACACCGGCTCTCCCGAGTGCCAGCGGTACCAGCAGCACTGCAACCAGACCCAGCAAAGCTGGGTGGTGAGGCCGCCCTTTCTTGGGTAGTTTCAGTGACGTCATGGTCGATGTAATCACGTGGGGTCACGTTCCCCGCTCATGCCACGCTGCTCTGTGGGTACGGTGGCCGTTCGGCTTCATCTGCAAAGAAACAGGCGAAGGTTCAAGTGGTGCGAGAGAGGTCAAAATGATTAGAATAACGATTCGATAGCGCGTAGCGGTCCGTAAGAAAGTTGTTATCTGTACAATATCGCCGAGCAGGCCTATTCGAAATAGCTGGGCATTATGTTTTAACACCGGAGCTGTTTAGGTAAAGCAATGCGGGAGGAAAGAAACACTAAGGAAGAAGGAAGGAATAGCCGAAACACAAAAAATTCCGGAGGGCCACCCTACACGGGGGATTAAGGAAAGAGAATGAAAGGTGGACAGAGAGAGAGAGAGAGAGAGAGAGAGAGAGATAGGAAGGAAGAAAAGAAGGAGAAGTCGTGCGGAGCGTATAAGAAAAATTGGTGGGTATGCGCCACAGAAAGTTGTGGGTGTGAAACCACTCTTGGCACAACTAGCCATGGAAAATACAGGACAGCAAGGAGATAGGAAAGAAAAGTGAGGGGGAGGATGAGTAATGTGAAGGTGAGGGGAAAAGAGAGGAGGAGAGAAGAGGCAGAGCCTTGGAGAGCAAAGCATAGCAAGGTGTGGGAAAGAGAAGTGAGGTGGAGTGATGCGAGGGCTAAAGGAAGAGAAAGGAGAAGAGATGACAATATACAAAGCGATACAGAAAAAAAGAAACATAACGGAAAGAAGATGTAGAAAGCGATAAAGAAAGAAGATTATTAGGAAGAAATCAGTCAATCTGCGCTCGCCAGCTGATGGCACTTGCTTACCAGCATCGCTGTTTACTCAGATTTCATCAGCGTGAAACTGACGTTACTTTTTTTTATGTCAAACGCGCTTTTCCAGGGGTATTCACGCCGATTTACAAAATTTTTGAATGATGAAACACTTTTTTCAAGTCAAGTATACTGTTTAAAGGTTGCGATTGGTGGGTGGGAGCAAAAGAGCTGTGGCGCGGATTAAATGGCACGGGCGCTTTTATCACTCGGCCCCATTATTTCAGCCGTCATGCCCACACGCATTGTGAATGAGCGACTGACAGCAATGCATTCTGAGGACAACACTCTAAAAAAATATCGAGTAAAAAGGGTGTCTTTTTGACCCACAACAATAATCGTCATCAGGCTTGCGTGCGTTTTCTTTATTGAGAACTCGGCGCTGGCCACTTTCCTATTGAGAATGCAATGTAACCCTGATAATGGGCATGTCGATCGTGACCGGAATGTACGGGGCGCGGGGCGATAGCGCAAGGATGGAACGCAATGATAGATGACGATTATTGTAGTGGGACAAAGAGACACCCTTTTTACTCGCTCTTTTCTTAGAGTGAACTCTAAAGCTTCACCGTTCGGAATATGACTCGTTTGAAAAGTTTAATGAAAACCCGCAGACAACAAATACACGGGCTCACGTGCTACGTGACGCCGCCACTTCACAAAAAAGTGTATTGCACACTCGCCGTCACGACTAAGAGCGGCGCTGACTAACACTCCCAAGGTTCGCATGCACATAGGTATACCCGATAAGTGAACCGGCGGACGACCACCCCTCTAGCTCAGTTGGTAAAAAAATAGGGCGTGTATTTTGAAGGTCGCAGGTTCGGTTACCTCGAGCGGCAATCCCCGCCGCGGTGGTCTAGTGGCTAAAGTACTCGGCTGCTGACCCGCAGGTCGCGGGATCGAATCCCGGCTGCGGTGGCTGCATTTCCGATGGAGGCGGTAATGTTGTAGGCCCGTTTGCTCAGATTTGGGTCCACGTTAAAGAACCCCAGGTGGTCGAAATTTCCGGAACCCTCCACTACGGCGTCTCTCATAATCATATGGTGGTTTCAATCAATCGAGCGGGAAGTTGTCTTTTCATTCACTTTAATTTATTCAAACCTGTATCACCCTTATCGCAATACACTCGAAACAGCACAGCTAACGCTCCCTATACCTCCTTTGGCTTCATTATCTGCTGATTTTCATTAAGGCTGGGTCAAATAAAGAAACGAGTCTTCGATAAGTTCGCTTCGTTCATTTGTTTGCAAAGTAGCACTATGTCAAAGCAAATAAACGACTACGAAGCAAGAAAAAAAATGTATCATGTGCAAGCTTCCTTGTTTATGCGCGTCTGATAAATGAGAATAAACTAGACGCATAGTTTCTTAGTTCACGCTGTTAGTATTTTGTCAGTATTTCGTGTATACCTGTATGCTCTATTATGTTTTATACAGTATGACAAAACGCATGAGCACAATGTACCGCCCCGCCATGGTGGTCTAGTGGCTAAGGTACTCGGCTGCTGACCCGCAGGTCACGGGATCAAATCCCGGCTGCGGCGGCTGCATTTTCGATGAAGGCGGAAATGTTGTAGGCCCGTGTGCTCAGATTTGGGTGCACGTTAAAGAACCCCAGGTGGTCGAAATTACCGGGGCCCTCCGCCACCACGTCTCTCATAATCATATGGTGGTTTTGGGACGTTAAACCCCACATATCAATCAATCAAGCACAATGTACCGTGTTAACGTTCATGTCCATTTCGAAAACACTGACGTGAACTTCTTCCGGTCGCTCTAAAGGTTTTGGGCGTGGCTTACTTCCTCTAACAGTGGCTTCGTGAAGCTGTGACGGTGTTGGCCTCGGGCAGGAGGCGAGAACCAGAGGGTTGCGAATCGGCAGCGCGGTGCCTCTATCATCACAGCATGCGGGCACAAAAGAGGAGTGGGAGTAGCAATGTCGACCTATAAATAGTGTGGGGCCCGAAGGGCTGCATTCACGCACCGCGAGCAGCATCTGAAGATAGAAAGGACTGTGTGGCCAGCTGGTGCCTCCATTAGCAGCATGCTCCGCCGGCAGCGCGTGCAGCGAGTGAGGCGTCGCGCTGTGGTGTAAGCTAAGGTCCCTAGATATAGGGACCCTAGTGTGAACGACGCACCGGCGCCTCCTGCTCGGAGACGGAGCACATCCAAGTGATGAACGAGGATGCAGCATTCAAGTGATCGACACGAACTACGAGAATGCGTATTTTGCGTTTCGCATCTTCGGAAACCGAAACAAAAACACAGACGGCGGAAGACCAGAAAAAAAAAGAAACGAACTCAACCAGCATCTCATTGTTGAAGTATGAGCGAAAAAAAAAATTAACGGCAGGTACGAAAAGAATTTGACTGGACACACACTCAACTTTCAACTCCCCGCTCAGACCTGTACAATGTTGTCTCGGGGTCGTGACGGGGAGGACGATTGAAGTCAGGCTATTAAAGACGTAACACTTTATTCAGGCGAACTTGTGCCCGGGATTCGAAAAGCCAAACTACACTCTTAAAAAAAAGGTTAGTAAAAAGCTAGTAGCCCCAAGCAAAATGTTAGTAACAGCAGCTGTTACTAACCTTCTTGGGCCATTACTAACCTTTCACGACCATTTTATGCCACGTTAGCAAACGCTTGAAGGTTGCAATGGTTACTACATTTTGCGCACTGTTAGCAACTTTTCGTCATGCACGTATTTAATGAACTTGTTAAACAAACTTTAGAGGTGATTACTACGAGCGTCTAACAGCCTATTTAGTAGTACGGGAATGCATTCAAGTTCATTGAGACAATATATGTAAGCTTACTACCCAGCTTCATGTCTTGTATATTAGGCCGTGTTGAGGCGGTATTATGCAAAATAGACATAATTGTTTTTCTTGATATGATTGATTAAAAGTCCTACACTGCGTTGCCTCGCTCACATTGAAAAAAAAAACTGTACGTTGCACAAATAAAGGCACCTAACTTATATTATACATATTACAGAATTGCTGCCCATCGTCCCCAGCTGCATTCCACGAAGTTAGGGCCATAAATACTCCTGGAACCACTTAGGAACACTTCTCGCGTGGACTTGTGTATGTTTTCTGTTCTCTTTTATGGTATTATGTGCGTAATTACTCAGTGATATATCGAAATGTTGATGCTCGCGAATAGGACCGTAATAAAACGGGCAATTCGTGAGGCAAAACGATCACGTATAGTACATTTTTTTTGTTAGCAACCGTTATTACCTACGTTAGTAACCATTACTAGCTGCGTCAGTAAAGGTGGAGCTAGTACTGGTTACTAACTTCCCCGTTAATAACCTCAATTACTAACAGGTTAGCAACATATGTGACAAGCATTTACTAAACCAAACTTAGGAAGTACTACAACCCTCCCCCCCCCCCTTTTTTTTTAGTGTGTACGAGCAATACACGCTGTGCAGCTCCGCGGTGTTCTAGCAGCTTAGATACTCGTCTGCTGACCTGCAGGTCGCGGGATCGAATCCCGGCTGCGGCTGCTGCATTTTTGATGGCGGCGAAAATGCTGTAGGCCTGTGTGCTCAGATTTAGGTGCACGTTTAAGGAACCCTAGGTGGTCAAAATTTCCGGAGCCCTTCATTACGGCATCTTTCATAATCATATGGTGGTTTCGGGACGTTAAACCCCACACATAAATCAAGCAATACACGCTGAACACTGATAGTGACGAACTGACAGATCACGGGTCTTCAAATGCTATCGAAGCTTCCAACGTTATTGCTGGCAAACGCGAAGGCTCTGGAAGAAACTTTACTAGTCTCGTCCTTACAGAATTATCTCAAACAATCGCGAAGCTTCTCAAACCCTGCGGCGTGAACCGCCAGCGCCGAGCACCGAGTCTTTGCGTGTAAAAGCCGAATACATGGCACTGCATTGCGCCAACTGGCTGAGACGACAATCCTATTGATCAGCATAGCTTTTATGTGACCCTACAAAGCTGCTCAGCACTGGTATTGTGTAGTGATTGCGTAAAGTCGCCTGTATTATATATTGGCACGCATGCATTGTTTGTATTTTCACGGAGATTATTCTTTACAGCCTAGACTCACCGCTACAATATTATGTGGCTTGTGATTGTCGCCTGTCACAAAATGTTTCGGAGACAATATCATTTCGCAGCGTCATTGTTTGAAAGAACATACGCTGTCATGATTCATGCTAATTGTGACAAAAAAAAAAAAACGATCTGCATAGCCTTTTAAGCTCTGGA